CTTTAGTAGGTTAAAGGTTGCGGGAACGTCCATGATATGAAATTCGATGCTGTGTTGTCCTGGACCAACCTTAGTTTGAATTTTAATAGTCCCCATCACTTCTCTGCTGGTATTGTCGTATGCTCTGATCACTTGGGTGGGACCATCATCTTCTGCGGGTTTTAACCCGATTGCATATGTCGTTCTGGTCGGGCAGACATTAATCGCAGACCCGGTATCAACAAGTACCACCGATACCACTTATCTCTACATTCCACAGAAAATATAGAGAGGTTTGTTATGGTTTGTGCCCTCAGGCGGTAGCTCCTTGTCCGAAAAGGTTAATGCCGGGGAACCTCCTCCCGGAAAAACCAGCCCAACCAGCTGTTCAGGTTTGGTATCTATGGAGAGTTTGGACTTGTCCATAGCAGATAGGACAGCTTCTCTGTGTACTCGTGATGCCATTAGCAGTCCCCAGATGGAGATGTCTGCTTGTATCTTTTTTAACTGTTTCAGCACAGCTTCATCCTCAATCTGCTTCTCCTTCTGTCTCTCCATTTCTCTATCTTTCCCGGATGCCTCGGGTTGGTCCAGCAGTATATCTCTCAAAGATAATCAAGTGCAAAACTTAATACTCAAAACATAAATTGCATACCTTAGACCCACGGGGGTGCCCCTCTTTTATAATATACTCAATCCAAGTCCCACTATAATCCCATCCCAGGGGTAATTGCTTCGTTGTTCATGAGGTATATGGCTTAGTGCTACATACTATGCGTTCATTTTCGCGCGATGACTATATTAGCTCACCACGTCACGCACCAATCGGGGGTACAAAATGTGAACCCGACAAAAAACACCTCCTCCGTGCCCTGTATATAATGCTACGTCTGATATCTTCAGACCTGCTTCGTGCTGTTCCGGCCTGGATCGACGTACACTTCAAGGTGGATATCCCTCAGATCCGGTGTCTCGTATCTCTTCCAGATGTCGGTTTTTAGGACACCTCGGGGGGGATGGATCGTATGAATTTCCAAACGATTGCACCCCTTTTCCCGTATTGAAGGCCTTGGTTCAGCATTTGATGTGGTAGGGCGGGAGGCGGGGGGGAGAGACTGCTTGACCTCTTGGTGCAACCACAATCATTACATCTTTGGCCGAGGTGTCTCGCCCCTAAAAAGTGTTTTTTTTTTTTTTTTTTGTCTTATCTTTTTTACAAATCTTTTTGTTTTTTTTTTAGTGTTGTATCCAAAATAAAATAATAAACAAGGTTGCGTCGCGGAAGTCCAAGATATTTGAAATTCGATTACTGTGTATGTCACTGGGACCAACCTTCAGTTTGGGGGGGGGTGGCTATTTAACATCGCCCATCGTGTGCCCCTTCTTGCTGGTTATTGTCTGTTGGCTCTGATCACTTGGGTGCGAGTCGGTTATGGGACGAATTCCTGGGTTCAAACCGATGCCAGTGGGTAGCCGTTTAGCTGCTGGTGGCAGACATTACTCCAGACCCTGGTATCAACAGTACCACTGGTACGTTCCTCTTCTTGGATTATCTCGTACAATTCCACGAATATAGGCGGACTTATAGTATGGTTTGTGCCTCAGGCCGGTTAGTCCTTTTACGCCACATGTCTGAGAGTTAATTGCGGGTGGCCTCCTCCGGAAAAACCAGCCCGACCGCTGTTCGGACGTGCGGTGTCTTATGGGAGTTTTGGACTTGTTCCATGTGCCAGATAGACAGGTTTCTCTGTGTACTCTGTGATGCCTATTAGCAGTCACCTCCAGACGGAGATTTCTTATGGACATATCAACTGTCTGTTGTAGTTTTCTATTGTTTTCAACACGCCTCGTTCTTCGATCTGCCTTCTCTTTTTTGTCCCTTTTCCTTTTTTTTTTCTTCCGCGGGCGGGGCGGGGGTTTCTCTGTCTTTTCCCAGATGCCTCGGGTTGGATTCTATTCCGCCCGGCTGCGGGCTGGTTGAGGTAGCCGCCCACTTTTGTCGATGCTGGTCACTTTCATTTTGGTACCAGTTTCTCCGGCTGGTTATGCTCCCGAAGCTCTTCGTCATCGGTTGTGGGAACGACACCAACGTCATTTCCCACCACATTCCATCTGT